ACCTGGATCTTTGCATTCTATGGTTTCACTATGGATTACATCCAGGTCACAACCTAAGGAAGACAGCTGGCAGAAAACCACCCTGCTGGCCGATTACCCAGCTTTTGTAATGAATCCCAGAGGGCTATGAACCGATGTGTGTTTCTGGCTCTGCCAAGTCCTGGACAAGTAAGTCCTCACCAATGAAGACCTATTAGTCTGTGATTTATTCTGCGAGGGAAGCCTGAGAAGCCACCTGCAATCAAGACTCAGCTGCTAGAAGCTGCCTCCAGAAAGGAAAGGAATGGAGAATGTATGTGTCAGGGGAAGAGGAGTGGAAGGCCTTTGCTTTGTATGTGTCAGGGGAAGAGGAGTGGAAGGCCTTTGCTTTCCTGTCAATTCAACTGCTATCTTCTGCTTTAAAAAAAAAAAAAACAACTCTGAGGACACCCGAAGTCACAAAGTCACAGGACTGCTCCATACTCCCCAGTATACTCGGTACTATATAAGGCCAGCTTTTAAGGGGCCAGGGAACAGCACTGTACAGATTTCAACAGAACAAGGCCAACATTAGAGACTATAAAAGACACCTGTTCCTTAGAATGCAGCAATTCTAGGAAACAAAAAAGATACTAAAACCTGCCAAGAAAACAGAAATACTTTCTAATCATACATGGCTACTACTTATTACTTATTATGTGCCAAGCCCTATGTTTAAGCCTTTCTCGTATATCATCTAATTTAATCCTCAAAACAACACTGAGGTATGTACTACTATTATACCCATTTTACTAGTGAGAAAACTGAGGCCTGGAGAAGTGTGGTCAATTGGTCAACATGTCACAGCCACTTTAAGGCAAGGTCAGGACTGATCCAGGGCCAGGTAAGTTCTGAATTTCTAATTATTACTGAGAGTGAGTGTGGAACACCAAGGGTATATATGCACAAATATTTAGGAAGTGTCAGCTGGGTACCCACCCAATGGGTCTTGAAGGCAAATCCTGCAATCTGGGTTAACTTAATAGTCAAAAGTTGTATTTTATTATTATTTTTTAAGTAACTCAGATCTTGAGATTCCCATTAAAGTAGATTCTTTCACACCAGCTTCTAAAATCAAAATATGAAGATTTTGATGATTTATGTTATATTTTCTATACACCATGAAGGCTAAAATGCCTGTGGCCTATTTATTTTTTAAAATTACGTATAGTAAAGGAATATGCTTACAATATCTTGTAACTTTTCATTCAGTTGCATTTTACAAAACTGCCATTTTTGCCAAAATGAAACGTGTAAGGATCAACAGTCTGAATGTATTTCCAAAGAATATCATCTTGTTGCCCTGGCAACAGCCTCCTTTCTCGCCATTTGTTTTGGTGTCGAGTAGACCCAGGCAGGGTTGAGAGAAAGGGGCAAGGGGAGAGAAGACTGATGCTCACAGCTGCAACAGGTCCTGGGCTGAGGCTGGGGCTGGCCAGATGCTGTAACAGATCAGCCAAGAGGAGAGAAAGCCAGTCCGCTGCTTCAGACACAAGCTTTCTCAGCCATGGAATCAAGGACCATGGCTGTCGTTTACGTTGGCTTCAGCTGCCTGGTGTAGACCTCCACAAGGCGAGAAAGGGCCCATGAGCATCCCTTACAGATGCTTCCACGCAACCCCAACACGAGGGAGTTGGCCCACTAGTCCTTATTTCCCATGATTTCTTCTCAGAGGGATGCTGTTCAGCTGGAAGGAGAAAAGCAACTGCTTTTCCTGTATTTCAGTGCTTAGTCTTAGATCAGTGGGCCCTAGAGAGAGAGTCTGACTATACAGGAATCCCTGCCTCCTGCCAATTTAAAAGTTTGAGTAATTTCAGTCTTTGAAAGATCCTGTGTGTATGCATGGGGAACATAAATGATGGGGATGGGGAGAAAGTAAAGATTTCTTTTAGAAAATCTAAACTTTGGAACAGATCTGTGACCAGCAGGCTTGCACAGGGGGGTGTGCTGCTCCTTTCCTCTCTCCAGCCCTTCTTCCAGAGGCCTGATGCACACAGAAAGAGAAAGAGAGAGCAGGAATAACTCATTGGAGTGTGTGAATAATATCGAAGATATGTACGAATCTTTGTGCCAAAATGAATGCTGTTGCCATTTATGTGAAATAGCAAATGAGCACCAAAAGATTTGTTGGACTATTCCACCTTCTTAGAGTTTGCTGGACTAAACACCGTATTAAAAAGTGCTTGCAGATAGCGTTTAAGACTGAAGGGTATCTACAGGTAGCTTCTGCGTGACTGTAAAAGGCAGGTGTGGTGTCATGCCCGAGAAGCCCCACCCCTTACCACTGATCCGCTGGACAGCACCGCTTCCCAGGATGAAAAGCATTCTCAGGAGGGCGAACCCGTTGCACCTGCGCATCAGCGTATTGCTAAAGAGCCACAAATGCACAGCAAGTGCCTCTCTGTCAACCAGAACTCAACAGGACTGGTAAATTATGTGCTGCCTGCCTTTCACCTGCACGTTCATCCTCAGTTTCTAAAAGCCTTTGGTAATACTTCTCAACAAAAGTTTGAAGATGTACACATGAATATACACATACACTTGAGGCACTGGGTGTCTGAGGGACGTGAAGCAGGGGCATTTCTCTGACAAGAAAAAGATGACTTGGTATTGAAACCCACCTTATTTAGCATTTCTGGGAGGTGACATGACAAGCTAACAAGCTAAAGGGGATTAACTTCAGATTTCAGAAGTGAATCAAAAAGGCGATGAGTTTCACAGAATCAAATATCTAAGATTTTTAAAAAAAATCTAAGGTAAGGTCATATTTTCCAATCTCCTTGTTTTTCAGAGGAGGAATGCCAGGGTCCAGAGAGGGGGGACATTTATCTCAAGTGAAACTTCACGTTAGTAGCAGAGCTAAAAATTAGACTCCTGGTCTCCCTAATTCCGTGAGTGCCTACGGGTGCCTGCGTCATTCTTGGTCTGGCTGATCCTGGCAGATAAGAGATGAGTATCCCCATGCAAACAGACCAGGATTGTGGAGCGGGTCCTCTGTCATTTCTCTGGGCCCTTTGCCCCTGGCGCGCGCGCACACACACACACACCACCCCCCCACCCCACCCCCAAAAATGAGGAACTAATGAAAAACAACATCTTATCAGCTGTTGGGGGGGGCGGGGGGCTGTGTTTGATCTGTTTACTTGGAAGCCAGCCCTGCTGAGCTCAAGAGTTTGCTGTAAGGCAGACGGGAGAATTCATTTGGGCTCTGTTTCTTTGCAGGCCTGGACACCAGGCTCAGGGCTTATCCTCACTGTCAGGGAGTTCAGTGCACACACTAGGATTTGCTGAGGGATGAGTCACCTGTGCCCTTCAGTTAGGGTTGTAGGTGGATTACTGCTTCTCCTGTTAGAGTTCAGATTAATAGCTTTTATGATTGTTGAAATGTTAATTTACTTTCTGAAAATCAAAGAAAGAGTCTATCCCTCTAGCTCCGTGAGGATGTCTTCACTGTGTGTGTTTTTCTGCCCTCTAGAATAAGTCCCCTGGGTCTACACAGGCTGATTCCCTCCCCTCTTGGTTCAGAATCCACCTTGAAGGCCACGTGGCAAAGCCCATGAAGGAACTGGTAGCCTTGGAAGTTCTCTTGCACTCACCGCCACCCCTCTCCATCACTGTAAAGAGCTCATACTGTTCTCTCCACCGATTTCTCACCAGCCTCATCAGTGACAAACCCCCAGAACGTGGGAGAGTTAGTTTATATTTTCTGATCTGCACAGAACATTCGTCAGGCTCCAGGAGAGACCATGTAAACCAGAACATTAAAGTCCGAGCAGCGGATACTCATTCCTTCCCTGTTTCCTCCCCTACAGAGCTGAAATCCTCGGGGCCGGGGCTCCCCGCCTCTGAGCGAGCGCCCCGCGCTCACATGCCCCCCGCAGAGCGCTCGCTGCAGGTGGGTCCTGACTCCTCATTGGAGGCGCCCGGAGAGAACAGGCTTTGAATTTAACGGGCAAAGCAGGGGACAGGGCAGCCAGGCCGCCGACCCAGCCCCGGAGCCGCAGCGCAGCCCCGGAGCGCAGAGGGGCAGGGCGAGCGGAGCCCGGAGC